CCTGGCACAGCAGCCAAGATCCACTGAAGCCATAATTAACACCACAGATCCCCTGGCTCATTCCAGAGATTCTGATACAGCGGATCTAAGGTGGGGCTAGGAATTTACACTTCTAACAAGCTCCCAGGTGATGCTGAAGATGCAGATTTATAGATGACACTAGTACTTGAGAAGTACTAGTTTTTTATTTTATTTATTTATTTATTTATTGGCTTCACTTGGTCTCTGTTACTGCACACGGGCTTTATCTAGTTGCAGTGAGTGGGGACTACTCTCGAGTTGTGGTGCTCAGGCTTCTCCTTGTGGTGGCTTCTCTTGTCGCAAAGCATGAGGTCTAGAGTGTTCGGACTTCAGTAGTTATGTCATGTGGGCTTAGCTGCCTGTGGCACGTGGGATCTTCCCTGACCAGGAATTGAACCCGTGTCTCCTGTGCTGGCAGGCAGATTCTTAACCACTGGACCACCAGGGAAGCCTGAGAAGTACTACTCTTTATTCCGCCTTTTGCCTCACTCAAGACCAACCTCAGAACGTAACAACCAAGCTAGTTCTGATAAACAGGTCCTTCCCTTCTCCACTGATTCAAACAACCAGAGTTTCTGCTCTGTATCAGGCACATTGCCAGGGGCTAGATGTCCAAAAATAAAAAAGTTACAGGCTAGGATGCCACAATTAAGGTTTATATTGCAGGAATCCTTTTTTCTACTTTAACGGGCATTTGAAGCCAACATTGTCTGTGTTAACCATCTATAAAAGATACCAGATTTTTCTACTCCAGGTGAACAGTTACATAGTGTGTTTTGTCTCAACATACCTATCTCTCGAGCAAGAATAACACTGCTGAGGCGTATTGGTTGGGTAGATTCAGCAAAGAGCACAGCTTTTTGCGAACATAAGGTGCCATTTTCATATAAAGGTTCAACAGTTACTGCATCATGATGGGTAGAATGCCTGCCAGGATAAAATACTTAAGAATATGAAATACGAATGTGGGTTAAAATTAACTTTTGGTGGAAAATAGGTTCCTATAGTTTTTCCACATTACATACTACCAGGTGTATTTAAATGTTTTTCTTTAAAGTAGAAACATTGCTTAAAGATACAAGATTTAAGTGGAAGAGACTGATGAGAACATTTTCCAGTGATCCCTTGTGCCAAGTTACATTCCTCCCTCAATATTTAAAGTAAGATTGTTACATTCTTCCCTCAGTATGTAAAAATAGGATTGATGCTGTTTCCAACAATAAGAGACCAGGCTTCTCAAACTCTGAGGAATGAATTTCCTCATAGAAATTGGACTGTTGCTATCTAAGGTGGAAATCTTGCTAAAATTATGAGGTGTGAGTCCAACTCAAAATAGTTTAAAAAATCATTAATATTTTTGGATGGATGGAAGGAATGGCTTTCAATGCTAGGTTGATGCCTTCCATCATCCTCAGTCAGGAGATAAGACACACTGGATCACTGTGTAAGCCTGATTTCCTTATACATTCTCATAAAATGGGAGATGAACTTCTTACACTATGGAGAAAACTTAGTGCTTCTCTTCAGTGATGGTAGAGGGAAATCTCCAATTAGGATAAGCCCTCTGATACCTTGGAGCCCACTTCAGCTAGGTTCCCTTACCCTTAGGAAACCATACAATCTATGGTTGGGTTCTCTCACGCCAGAAAATCATGTCTTTCCATCCTCAGTCAGAAAGTCATTCCCCCCAGAGTTGATTACCCCAAACTTGAGTGTACACTTCGAGAATACTCATATGAGGGAGGAAACTTATATTAATATGTGACAGACAAATCTTATCTCCACCTAAAATACACCTTCTCATACAAGTTTATACTTCATATTATCCATGCCTCAATTCACTCACCTGTAAAATGGAATAGCGCTTAATCCATAAGACTGTAAAAATGGAGTTAACACATACAAAGTGCTTAGTTAAGTATGCAACAGTTAAGTGTTTTCACACTGAAAACCTCACTTTAGTTGGCGGAGAACTCGCGCATCCTAAGCCTCTCTAGCCCCTCAATAAATTTCCTCAGACTTTGGGAACTCCTCATCCTAGCTGTTAACACTAAAGGTTCTTTGCAGTGGGTAGCCATGGTTGTCTGAAGCCGCCAACACAGGGTTTCCTTATACCCTGACAGCTGTTCACATAGTGACTACCCCTCCCAACACATACCATGAGAAAGCCAATCTCACACGTTAACTGCTCATAAAAGGACCCACACATAAGCTGAAGACATCGCACACAAGAAAGACAGGCCATATCAGAAGGGCTGGCCCTCCATTCCTGCTGACACCCCACCCCTGATCCCTACAGGCAAGGCTCTTCAGGATGAGTGACCACACAGTATTCCGGTGGCGTCTTCCGTTCAATGAACCCCTCCCATTCTTCCTGGGCGGCGTGGGTGTGCATACTCTTGTGATCCCGCCACCCCTCACCAAGTGTAGCAGCCCCGCTGAGCCTCCAGCAGGAAAGGAACCCGGCCTGGCTCCCGGCCAAAGGGTAGCAACACCTGTGGTACGTTAAGTTTGTTGGCCAGGATTCCAAGCAAAAAGAGAAGCAGAAACAGGAGGCGCTGTAGAGTCACGCAGAACAGCCCGAAACCTCGGGGATTTGGTAACCCAACAGCAGCCATGGCGCCCGTCAACTCCTGTCTCCTCGCTTAACTACAGCCGCGCCCTCAGCTCCAACATCAGCCAATCCGCAGGCGTGACGTCAGCAGGTGGGCCCGTACCGCTTGGAATTATGGGGATGCTTTTAGGCAGGGCTCCAACAAGCCGTTATGGAAACTTTTAGGGCAGAAACCCAGCTAGCTACCCACTTAAAGGGCTACCTCCTTAAATATTGGGTGGCAGGCCTTTTTAATCGTAAAGAACAAGCAGAAAAATCTAAAAAAAAAAACCTCTCCCAGTTAAATTTCTCCTTCTGTTGCCTTGTGTTTGGCTCCTAGAGCAACCCCCCCCACCAACTTTTTTGGGGGGCAATTTCCAGTCAGCATTGGCCCGTGCATATAAATGGAAAAAATGTTCCAGTCTCTGGTATAAACAGCTGGACTTTGTCAAGGAAGCTGTGTCATTTTTACTAGTAAGTCAGATTCACGTGCAGCCTCAAGGCCAGACTGTAGGAAATGCCAGGCACTGGTGTCTCAAGGGCAGCTTTGAAAGCTATCCACTCACACAACCTGTCTGTAAGCAAATACCCTGAGAGCACCTCTTGTTAAATTGTTTTCTCCAAATATCTAACAAAGTATTAGCTCAAAGGCTGTCTCAGGACAGTTTACTAAAACCACACATATATAGGAGTATGTAATCAGTGTCATATTATTGAAATTGTTCAGTGAGCAGAGTCCAATAAATCTGGGATTTACAAGAAAGAATAAATGATTGCAAAGGAAATGTACAGCTGACTCTGATGATGCCAGTGTCAGATTAAGTAACATTACTATTAAACATTGACACATAAATGTTATTTCTAATCTTTACATTTACCTAAAAATACATATTATCTTTATTTTACAGATAATGAAACTAAATGATTGACATAAGAACACACAACTAGGGATCTGAAAGCTGAGTTTTGACCCCAGTTTGGACAACTTCCAAAGCATGTGTGATGTGTCAAATCCTATTGCTGCCACCCACAAAGATCTGATCTTTACCCAAACTTCACAGCTCCTGTGGAGAAAGCCCATTTGGATTGGGAAATAAAAGCAAGTACTTCTGATGGTTGGAGGGACTGGTTCTTTATTTCAAAAAGACATTTATCAATTTTCAGTATCAAAACAGTTACACTATTGGTTTTTTTTCTCCCAGTTGGTCCGCAAAGAGACCACACCAAAGGAGAGAACATTTTAAGCCAATTAAGCTGCAGGATGCACACCTAACAGACCTCACTGAAACCTCATCAAAAAAGGGGGACTGGGTAGGGAAAGAAACTTCAAAAGATCAGCACACTGCTAGCCCACAGACTGTAGAGAGCTCTCACAGACAGAGGGGTGACCAGTGTGCCTCAACCCCAAAGAAGCAAAGTTCCAAAATAATATAAAATTTAAAAAGTTTTGTACATAAGCTTTTCAAGATTTCTCCAGCACTAACCGATACAAAGCACAATGAGATGGCACTTTTGGAGACAGCAGCTTCAGACCCATAAAAGGGTGATGAGATGAATTTCATATGGCTAAATCAGTGGCAAAACATAATTTTCTTTCCTTTCAAGGCGGCAGGAGAGCAATTAAGTGGTCACTTCAACATAAAGGGCACATGATCCATTCTGTGAGCAGTTGGGAACAGGGTAGAGCTGGGACAAGGATTTGGTCTCAGAGGTTTCACCATCTTAATTGTTTGGTCACTTCTGATGAAAAAAGAAAAAAGAAAGTTGTCCAAAGATACTGTAAAGCTGAAAACCTGAACAGCACTTTTTTTTTTTTTTTGGCTAACTCCTCCTGGAATCATCTTTCTGGTTTGGCGGGTACTTTTTACAGAGCAATGAGGTTTCCCCAAATGGAGCCTTTCTCTGGGCTGCTAGGCTCTCAGTAAGGCAGGCCCAAACCTTTTCCCTTTCTCTCTGGAGAAGGCAATATGCATTAAGCTGAAACGTTACCTTCCAAAAGTGAGAAAGGGATTAGACTGCTGCTTCGGAAGTACGGAATTATTTAGAATGTTTTTTACAAATGGTTGTTACATCAACAACTAAAAAGGTAATTACAAAATGTGTACATCACAACATGCTTTTAAAGACACTTTGCATTGTGCTCACATTCCCTTAAACGTTGTTCCCAAAGGTGCTCAGCCTCTAGCCCAACTGGAATCTCTGGGGAGAGGCAGAGACAGTTTGGCGAAAAGGACACAGGAGTAAGAGGGTGGGAGAGGTGGCGAAAGGAGAAAGCAGCCTTCCAGTTAAAGATCAGCCCTCAGTTTAAAGGTCAGCTTCGGGCAGGCTGGCCTCAGCGGAGTCGGGGTGAGAGGGAGGAGCAGCGGCAGGGCGGGACTGGGGTGTTCTACATCTCATTCAGGTCAAGCAGAGTCTGGTCCAGCATCCTTTGTGTACAGAGGTGCTCCTCTTTGGTGCATTTCAGTTTATCTAATGGGGGTAAAGGAGAGAGGTTATAAAAACTAGAAGTAAATTTCAAGGTCTACCCATTCTGAGAATTGCTCCTGTTGCAGGGAAGCTGCAGACTAATGAAGCAGCTGCCCTCTCAGCCACAGAAGTGAGTTATTGCATCACTTGGTTTTTCAGGGCCTCAGACTTGCCTACGGAAGTTACAGGCGTTGCTGGACTTCTAGGGGAGGGAGCTGGGGACCTTATCAGTCATTTCCTCTCCTCCCCACACCCCAAGCAAGGCTTTTAGTTTTCAGTCACTGAAGGAGGTGGCCTTAAGTTAAGCATCAGCCATCCACTCTTCTAAGTCTTTGCCCACAGGATAACACCTACTCCAAATAGCCTGCTGGAGTCTAACACATTGAGAACAAGGATGCGCATGTTTCTACCAGTAGAAACAGCAGAAGCTCAACTTGAAAATTTGAGTACCAGAGGATCCTCGTGCACTACAGGTTTTCCTCAACAAGTAGAGAGGAGAGGAATGACTAGTGGGATAAATAAAAGAACCCCCATAGCTAAGTCAGAGAATCTAGAAAGAAAAAGTCATGAATACAACAAAACAGGGACTTCTCTGGTGGTCTAGTGGCTAAGACTCTGAGCTCCCAATGCAGGGAAGGGAGACCAGGTTTGCTTCCTGGTCAGGGAACTAAATCCTGCATGCTGCAACTAAGGTTGAAGATTCCACATGCCACAACTAAGATTTGATGCACCCAAATTAAAAAAAAAAAAAAAAAGAATACTGCAAAACATATCCTTGTAAGCAAAACCTCAATTGAGACTTTCGCAGAGTTATTCTTCAGGAACTAGCCTGTGATACAGTTACTTACAATTAAACATTATACCAGGAAAACGAAACAAGAGGAAAAACGGGGAAAACGTCACAAAGAAAACTAGCAGCTGAACATCAAGGAAAATCAAAGCTGCCCAGCAAGCAAACCACTCTCTGCTCTAGGGAGGTGGGGAAAATGCTCTTCAACTCAAGGATGCGAATGGCAACACTGACCTATTCATATCCCACAACCTTTTCTTTCCCTTGTCTTTTTTCTACCCAGTCAGAAGGGCCCATCCCTGGGCCTGCAGATGAAGCAGTTACAACATCTTGTCAAGTCAGTCCTTTTATTGTTAGAAAACATTCATGCAAGGAACATATCCTACAGTCAGTGTACAAGTGAAAGAGCAGCAAATAAGGGTGGAAAACAGAAAACTCTCCCAGATTTCCTCATTATAATCTCTCAGGTCCCTCCCTTCATCACCCACAATCTCTTGAAAAGAGTAGAAAGGCAGTATTAATTTTAACTGTTCCCACTTTACAGTGCAGTTAGGAAGACAACACTATTCTAACTGTTTCAATTAAAAAGCAATTTGCTTAGGGCAAAATAATAACTTTAAAAAGACAATCAGCTTTTTGCTGGGGTCCAGGTCAGTGTTGTGAGCCGTAAGCTCGGTTTTATGGGCATCAGTGAGCCCTGCCCATCAGTCACATAGATCATGCAGCGTTAGCTTCAGCTCATTAGAAAGCAGGCGGTTTCGCTCAAGTTGGCTGTAGAGACGCTCTGCAGCAGCAATGGAGAGAAGAAAAACAAGAGAAGGAGAGGAAAAGAGGAGGAGAAAGAGAAAAAGGGAAAGTTAGTAGAGTACCAGAAGTAAATCTTGAGACTTTTAACTACCTGGTATACATAACATGCATCTGTAAGGCTGGATGGATGCAAGGAGGATTCAGTCAGTTGGTGAAAAGACCAACAGAGGAGTAAAATAAAAAATGCAGGGTAACAAGGTGAAAGGATGACATTTTGAGGGAGAAAAATATCTCCTTCATAGTATTTATTCCCTGGGTTAAGAAACTGAGACAAGTGAAGCACAGCAAAAGAAGGAATATAGTTGGCTTATAAGAAATACATTTACAAAAATGAGCGTTTGTAAGGAACCGACGTGAACAGTTGAATATTTTTCTGTAAAAGCATTCAATACAGCATTATGAACAGAAGACTGGGATACATAGCCCATACTCACTCAACCCTACACTTTCTAATGCTTTCTATGGTAGGTGTTGAGTGAAAGACCTATCACAGTGGCACATCCAATCAAAACCCAACTTCACCAAACCTGTTAGTGGCCACAGTCGCCAGCCCCAGGGAAGGTGGATTACTAATGCAAGCCAATCAAGACTATCCTGTTTCCCCAGCCTCACTAGCAGCTTAGGGAGATCATGTGATCCAGTTCTGGCCAGTGATGTAGGAGGTAGTGTGTCTGGGGGCTTCTGGAAAAACTAGCCTTCTTTCTTGCCTTGAACATGGGTATGATGACTCAAGTTGCAAATTTCAACTAAAAAAAAAGGGCCATAAGAATCACAGAAACCCCAACTACACCAAGCCAAAGCTGCTCAAATCAAGACTTTTTATTACGAGAGAAAAATAACCCCATATTTATTTAAGCAGCTATTAAGATGTTTCTTAACTAAAAGTGTTCCTGATACAAGTAATTAAGTGCTCAAATCCCCTGGTTTTATCTGGATTTTCCACTTGGAGCACATCTTAAAGAGATAGAGAATGGTGATCGTCTTGTAAGGTATAGAAATACCAAATCACTATGCTGTGTTATCATACAGTAACTAATATAAACATAGTGTTATAAGTCAATTACACTTCAATAATCTCACAGAAAAAGAGATCAAATTTGTGGTTACCAGAGAGGGAGAGTGTGTATGGGGGTATTGGATGAAGGTAGTCAAAAGGTATAAACTTCCAGTTATAAAATAAATATTAGAGATGTAATATACAATATAATATAGTCAGTACTGCTCTGTATGTTTTATATATGAAAGGTGTTTTTAAAAAGTCATCCTAGAAGTTCTCATCACAAGAAAAATTTTTTTAATAAATAAAAAAGGGGCTACACTGAGTCCAAACTCATGTGACTAACACAAGGGTAATGGAAATTGAGGGATAGGTCTTCCCAGTCTACTCCTAATGTCAGCCTCTGGTGTTCATAAACAAGTTTTTTCCTATGTTTTACAGTCTGTTTCAAAATGGTCTCAGAACCTCAATATGAAAAAGACTTCTCTGTCTTGCATCTGTGGGCTCACCGTGGGCATTGCTCAGTTACCTTGCCTTCTGGACTGAAGTTTTCCCAGTTCTACCCAGAAGCTGGGGACTAGTGTGTTCCCAATAATACTTGCCACTTTGTGTACACTATCCAAAACAGAAAACATACATGTATAAAAAGATCCTGGGGGGAATAACCAAAAAACAAGAGTTTCTGCCCCTTAGGGGCAGAACTGGAAGAGAATTTTAAAAACTGCACTTCCTACTAAACCAGTGTCACAATAGGAGGAATACTCTCCCTCCCCTCCCCCTAGAGGGGAATTGAGAAATGTGTGAGGGAAGGCTTTAATTGTCACAATAATTGGAGGGTCTGACATATTTATTGGGCAGGGGACAGCAATAAACAGGACTGTTCTGTACATCCCAGAATTATCCTGACCTAAAGGGCTAAAGTCCACCATTGAGAAACACTGTACTAGTCTACACTAGTCCATCAGGTCTGGGATTGGACCTGTCTTATTCACTGGGGCAATCCTGACAAACAGTAGGGGTTCAAATTGTGTTGAAATCTCATTCCTTGCACTTTTTGGTGTTATGTTAAATCCAGAGACCATCTGCAACCTGGCTGTTCCATAACATCTATATCTAAGTTAGTCTTAGTGTGACTCCCACAATCTTAGGAAAGACAGCTGTTATTAGGATCCTAACTCTAAAAAGTCTGGTCAGGGAGAGTTTTGTTCCACTTAGGGAAGAAATAAAGAGGCAGAGAAGAAGTGGGAGCATTTTATTGTCTGATTAAATCCTAGAACTTCTAGTTCCTTTAGAATTGCGTAAGGTCAGAAAGATAAATGTGATTATTTTCTCACCTTGAACTTTTAGTAAGTAAGGTTTCTAACTCTGTTATTTCTATTAACTAAAATTTCAGGACCAGATACTAGTTCATTAAATTTCTTGGTTCCCTGTAAGAGCAAATAAGATGAACAAACAAAAAGCAAGTCAGAGAATCCCCCTTTAGTCTGATTTTCCTTTCAGGGAATAATCCCACGGATGCTACACATTCTTAGGCTTCACTAGTTTGAATCAGGTCAATTTCATTCTGTAACAGGAAAAGGATGGGAGTGCCTGGAATAAGGGGAACTCTATCAGTGTTAAAGACTCACATTCAAGGAATGATGTAGAACAGATTTTTTTTTTTTTAAACTCCTTCCTCATGTTAAGGCTAAGGAATATTCAACCAATATCATGAGAATGGAAGAGTCTGGGTGTGGCTAAGACAAGGTTGCCTAACATAACAGGTCAGTTCTACCCATCAGGTAACTTGGGATCCAGTCACATTTTGTTTTATTCCTTTTCCCAACAATGGTAACGAGGAAGGAAAGAATGGATCCCAACACATCAGCCTGTGGTTTTTTCCTTAGAAATTAAGATGAGGAAAGTGAAGGGATGAAGCACTTTACTCTGATGCTTCACCCTATTCCCAAAGCAAGTCTTGGCTCAAGTAACATAAGATGGTTTCTACACCTCACTCTTCTAATCTTTCTCCATTCTTAGTTCTTTTCTTTGTTAGAAGCCTTCCTCTGTGCCAAAGTCAATTCCTTCTGCCCACATACTAAAACAGCCTAAACTATACTATACAATGAACGTGGCAGCCACTAGCCACATGTGGTTAATTAAATTCAGAACTAAAAGCAGAATTAGAATTTAGTTCCTGGGTCACACTAGCCACACTGAGTATTCAACAGCCCCATGTGGCTGGTGGTTGCAATACTGGAAATCACTGTCAAAGGTTCAGACAGACATCATTGTTCTACACTATACTTCATGCCTCTTTTTTCCTTTCCATCAATTTGCTTCTGCTCCTTGAAGTATGGCTCCTCTCCTTGTCCTTAATGCTCAAAATATACCCTGATTAATAAAGCATCAATAATTACGTTTTCATAATTTTCAATTATCATCCTTCTCTACCTGTTAAAAGTTAAGAATCACTGGAAATCACCCAGTGACTCAAATTTTTTAAAAAGCTACTTATTTCTTCTATCCCTCCAACCAGTTCCATTTGGCTTCCACCTCTACACAGATTTTCCTCTGCTTAGTTTTTCGTTTTACATTTGCAATTGTCTTTAGGATTCGAATTTACTTCCATGGCCTAAACTGCCTGCCAACCTCAGAGACTCCCAAATCTCTCTTGTATCAAACTCTCCCCCTCAAGTGCTAGGATTTGTTTTCATCTTGGATACCAGCTAGTTTTACAGACTTATTCCCTTGCCTTCCCAAACCAGGATCATATGACCTCCCTACACCTTTAATACCACCATTTTCCTAGGTTCAGAACCAGTCATCCTTGATGCTTCCTTCTTGCATTTAGTGACCACCCATCATAATGCCCATGGTCAACACCATCCCCTAATACCACTATCTAGGTCAGATTTTTCTCCCTGGGAAACTGCAATAACCTATCCCAGTATTTCCTAAACTGTAGTACAGTCACTGTTAGTGATATGTGAGAAGATTGCAGATAGCATACTTTTGTGAACTTAATTAGCTACATGATTTTAATGTTCATTAGGAAAAAAACACTAGCACATGTCAAAACTTTTGATTTCAAGTTAGAATTGTGTAGTGTAAGAAATTTTTTTTTTTTAGCCTAAGAAATTTTAAAATGAGTAAATTAAAAGAAAATAATGTAGGCTGCATGTAAATATGGAAAAGGCAGTCAAAACTGATATGCAAATGAATGAAATCCGGGAATCATTGTCTTAATGGATCACGTTGATAATCTGCTCCCTTTCCAATATGTTCTTAACTTAGTTGCCAAATTAACTCTTCTACTAAGAACACATCCTTGTTCAAAATCTCTAGTGGTACCCCCATCACCTACAAAACAAAATTAAAACTCCCCAGCCTGATCACAGCACAAACCTGTTCCCTACTTTAAATGGACGCTTAAACCCCTGGTGTCCTTCCCAATTCTATGCCTTTGTTCTTTTGCTTCTCTTTGATGAAAATGCTCAAGACCCACTTTCCTTCAACCAGACTGTCAAAAATCCAATCTTTTGGAATCCAATAAAAATGAAGAGGAAAGTTTCAACATGTTTATTAAGTAACTTGTATGTGCCTCCTATCATGACACTTCTCTTATCATCAACACTGCAATCAACCTCTTCCTCCCTCTTGAGGGTACTTGATTATTTGGGGTACTCATCACACATCATCTTTAGTTTTATACATATGTTTTCTGTCCTACTAGATTATGAGCAACCTGAGAGTAAGGAAGATGCCTCCATCTTAATACCCTGTGCCCAAACTAGTAATAATCTGTACCTTAATCACAAAGGCTGTATGGCAAAAAGAAATGGTATAGACAGAAAGAAAACTGAATTTAATGGGACCTAACGTTTTAAATTAGAGAAAACCTCTATACCTGGCCATATCTGTTTAAAAGAAAGCCAAATTTTAAATGTATACTGTGCTGAGAAACTGAAGTACTAAGTGGATTACACTTAAGTGCTTAGATAAGTATAATCAATGATTACACTACTCAGATTAAACTATCTCTGCTATGTAAATCAGCAAAGGAATTTCCGGAAGGTTGATATTTAATTCCACAACATGAATTTAGGAACAATCCTACTAGAAGCAATTTACCATATTTATGCATGTACTAAAAAACGTGGTACCTGTGTATAACATTTGAAATATGCATGACTGATTGTTTTCATTTTTCCAGTAACAATCATTTATCACTTACATTCCACTAGCATATACTAGCAGGCAAATAGTGAGCCTCAAATATGTAAGAAAGGTTTATAACTGCTGGAAATTCTACCTATTATGTACTTTCTCTGACTTGTGGCAATATACTTAGTCAATTTCAGCAGTCACATATTTGGGTCCACCGTGTATTCTGAGGATGCACCACTGGTAAACGGGTAGAGAGGATATATTGAGAGATACTTCAGTGGTCTCTAAAAGAAGAACCTAAGGAGAAGACAAACATTCCAGATAGGATGATTTAAGAACCTGGAAGTAAAGGACTTGGATAATTTCACTCAGCTTGAGTGTCAAACTAGAGCTCCTATTCTAAGGAACCTCTCCTAGTCCACCACTCTGATAGATCAGTTGAATTTAAATGTCAAGAAAAAATAGACACACACAAAAGTGGCTTTGATTATATAAGTCAGAGAAGGGAGAGCCTACAATAGCTGCGCCCCACATCACACCCCCAAGGCTCCTTTTTAGGGACAGCAGCAGCTTTGTCAATGACACAAATGCAGGGTGGCATGAGGCTTCCGGCAGCTTAACATTTTAATTTGGGGTGAGGGGTGGAAGAGAATACATAAGTTGTTTTGTGGCCACCTCCCCCCCGCCCATCTTAATGCCTTGGGGATCAGCCAGGCTGACCCAAATGGAATCCAGAGCGAGAGTGGGGCGTTGGGTTCCCCGAGGAAAGGGGGTAGATCCAGAACAGAGCAGAAACGGTGATAATTATCTGTGTGAAAAAGTAAGGAGACTCTAGGTGAGAAGGACAAGCATCAATCTAGACAGCAATTTGGGAGAAAGGAAGAGGAGAAAAAGGAAGAGGTGGCGGTAGGAATGGTAAAAGACAGCCAGACACTGCAGCCTGAGTCATTTGGCTTCTTTTCAGGGTTAGTGGGGAAAAGGCAGATTAGCGTCAAGGATCAGGGATCCACAGCAAACAGATGAAGGCCCCCACAACTCTTTTTGGTGCTTTTTACTACCTGGCTTGCTCTGGGACGTGGCTCAGCCTTTTAGGTAAATTTGGGATTTCCAATCATGGGTGTTTCACCTGAACTTCAGCATCAGGGTACAAACCACACACACCAGGGAAGTCTGGGTGCTATGGCCCAAGTCACTGGCTCTCTGGGCCCTAGTTCTTTAATTGTATGACAACATGATTATCTTAAGCAGTAACTCTTCTGAGACTAAACTTAAGAACCAAATGGGAAAATCCCGGTGTCATAATGAAAGGACCATGAATAAAAAGTACAAAAATTACACGTAGATCAGGGTTCTACCACTGATCCAGGATTACATGCCGCCGCAGCTTTTGCCAACAAGTAACCAGCACCAATGTTTTGAAGATAAGAGTGGAGATTCTAGTTTCCAGAAGACAAAAGCAGAGCACACTATGCACAGTCTGTACCCCCACCCGCCCCCAAGCCAAGGTCCCAGCCCCACTCTGCTGTCAGATAGTTACATAGAGGTCATGTCATTGAGGGCGTGGTCCAGCTCCTCGCTAATGGCCTTGTACTTCAGTTTCTGGGCATAGAGCTCATCTGGACAGGCACAGGAACCACAGGGAGGAATGAGGACACACAGTAAAAGGTATCAGAAGCAGATGAAGAGAGGGAATCGTTAGAAATGAAGGAAAGCATGACCACGGGTCTAATCCCACCGTTAGGAGAATATCTATCCTGGTAGCCACGACTGGCCATTTCAGATCCACTGCCCCCAAGACCAACCAGACTTCTTGATCCCTCTGATACCTCTAATCAATTGCAGCAAAGGTTGAGAACCTGGGCATAGTCATGACTAGAAATTCCAATTACCAAAGGCACTCAAGAGGATACCACTCCCACCCAGCGAACCTAATTCCTAGTAGTAATACTGCTGAATTTAACAAAAATAGAAAAAGGAGAAAATACACATTAATACTCAGACACTTAATATTCAGACCTACCAAGCATGACCAATATTCTTGGTCCCTTTGCTCTACAGGTTGCCTGCCCTGAACTCTCCCAAAGAATATTCTGCTACCCAGAGTGTACCAAAGCAGCATATTTCAGATTTCTCAGAGCAAAGTACAAACTTTTCCTTGTTAGGGTGGATGCAGCTGCCAAACTGCAGGGGCAGGAAGCATTCAGAAAGCCCCTGGCATTGGTCAGCTCTGAGAAGTGGCCATTCCACCACTGCTTCCCTTGGTGAGGTTCCCCCCACAACTCGAGTGGTGAGCAAGATTGCCCAAAGGAGCCATGGGGCGACATGAGGATACATGCCATGACCAATCTCCTCCAAGGGGAGGATACAAATTCCAGAATATTAGGTTAAGTCTTATTAAAGGAAAAGATTAAGTATAAAAATCCAGCTCCAAGATGTGACCCATTTCACCTGGCTATGGCACAGACAGGGCATAGGATGCATGCCAGGTCACTACCAAATCCTTTTGGTGTTGAGGGGAAGAGCATCAAAGGGCACGGTCTTCCTCTCTATTAATTTTAATCCCTCACCAGGCTCCATACCTTCCAAATCATCAATTGTCTTTTCCAGCTTGGCTACCGATCTCTCAGCAAACTCAGCACGTGTCTCTGCCTGCGGGAACATGAAATGAGTCAGAATCAGAGATAAATAAGACAGTTCGAGAAGGGCCTCTATCTTTTCCACCTTTCTGCTTCTCTAATTTTCAGAACCAAAGCCAGCTAGTCTAAGTCAACACGATGCCTTATATGCCTCTCAATGTCTTGGGGCCCCCCTCCTCATATATAATCCCCACAGCTCACCTCCTTGAGTTTATCGGTAAGAATCTTTATCTCTTCCTCATATTTGTCTTCTTTTTGAGAGTACTGTAAGAGAAGTAGAATAAACATCTCAGGATAGATATTGCTTACACAGATGACACCCCGCTCCCGACATTTACATTCAACATCCTCTTGGATTGAATGTGTTGGATGATCCATGAGAAAGAACAAGGCTGTTTCAGAACAAACAGTCCTTAAAACCCACAAATCAATGCCCTTGGAGCCATGATAACCTCAGACTCCACCAGGACCATTATTTTTAAAATGGACCTAGGCTTTGATCAGCACAGGAAGGCATTCTTCCTGCCTCCAAGTTAATGAGTAAATGTGACGACACCTGGAGGCCATGTGGCTGAAACAGTCCCACAAGAAGCTGAAGACAAGCCATCTTTCTTTATGCCCATTAGGTTTCAGATCCGATCCTACTTGTTGCCCCCAAACGCCAGCACGGCAGTATCAGCCTGAGGAGAAGGTGCCCCGGGGGTTATGAGACCAAGAAGTTACTTTAACTGCAGCAGTCAAAGTGCACGGGAATTGGCATTAAACCCGAATCTGGAGAGAATAGGTGGATACTTCTCACTGGATTATATAAGGAATGAGTTTCTCCCATTTTTCATCAAGGGCAGGGCTGGGCCCAGGCCCCAAAGCCTGTCACTTTTACAAACCGGCCCCTACCTTCTCCGCCTGAGCCTCAAGAGACTTGAGGTTGTTGGTGACATTCTTCAGCTCCTCCTCCAGCTCAGAACACTTACTGTGAATATTTTAAATACCGCAGGAGAGGAAAGGGGAAGAAGAGAATAAAAAAAGGGAGAGAGACACACAGACATGAATTGAACCTATATGTAGAGAGAGTTGGAAGGCATACTGGGGAAAAGAGAAGTTCCCAGGTAAACTGAGCAAGCATCAACCCTCCTCCCTCCACCAGAGAACATATCAGGAGCTGGACCCTCCTGGGCTGGGACTCAGAGTGTTCGGACACTGGTAAAGAAAACACCTGAGAGATCACTACCAGGAACAAATCATAACAGCTACCTGGGGTGGAAGTGGGAACGGATGCCCAACCCAAAGAGTCCCCCAAATCACCCAGGGGAAGGCGAGACCCTGTGGAGAGGCAGTGAAGTAATTAGAAAGAAGAGATGAAAGATGCCAAGTAAGTGGAGAGGAATGGAGCATTCCATGAAGAGATGAGAAAGCACTCAACAAACCAACCAGTGGAGGGGAGGCAGCTGCAAAACAGAACAAAAACAAAACCGAACAGAATCACACCATACACAGAACCTCTCTGTGGGTTTAATGGTTAGTACCTTTTCTTCAGCAGCACTCAGACACTTCAGGTTCTGGTCCATCAGTCTGATTTGCTCATCCATCTCTCGGCAACGGCTGTTAGTGATAGTCACAGGGACCGCACAAGCCAGGTGGTGGGGAGGGAGAAAGGTCAAAAAGGAACACAGCAAGGAAACAAGCAGCAAAATGGGAAAAAAAATAAATTTAAAAAAAATGGAAAGAAAAACATCACCATGGTCATGATATGTCATGTCTAGGAGAGGGAAATGCAAGGGAAGCACAAACAAATCTGCATCAGCACGGACTTTGTTAAACAAGGCCCAGAAGGTGCCATCAGGGGAACAGGTCTAGTCTGCCTTTGCCCGAAAGTTCCCCAGCAGCTTAGAGAAGTAGTAAGAACAGAGACAGATCTTAAGTCAGCACAGCCACTTCAATGCCTCAAGGAGAAGCAGAACCCAGTTTGAAGGACCCAGTAGGCCTGCCGGCCAACAGTTCACCATTTTTCTTTTTTTTTTTTAGATTTCATCTTCCCCTCAATTTATAAACCCTCCCAACAAAAAATCAGGAAGTCTCATTTGTCACATGGCCTGAGTTAAGAAAGCCCAAAGCCATTCTTAGGGCTAAAAGAAAAAAAACACTCTAAGTGACTCCCACTCTCTAGGTCCTGTTTAACAAGGTTGAAGAAATGCTAGTTTATTCATATTAGTGCCCAAGCCAAAAGGAAAGGAACAGAATGGTACGGCAAGATTTGGGGGGCAAGATACTCACGACTCTGCCAGCTCGGCCCGCTCCTCTGTGCGTTCCAAGTCTCCCTCAATAATCACCAACTTACGAGCCACCTACGGGAAAAGACAAGGGTACAGTTCAGAAGCAAAGGGGCCGACACCACTGCAGAGGGAGGGATGAGCTAAGAGTGCCATACCTCTTCATACTTCCGGTCTGCCTCTTCTGCAATGTGCTTAGCTTCTTTGAGTTGGATTTCCTGGAGTTCCATTTTTTCTTCATCTTTTAAGGCTCGGTTTTCAATAACCTTCATACCTCTGCCAGAAACATGGACAAATGCAGCACCTACAGCCTGGGGAGTCTGTCATCAGCTCAACTCTAAGGGACCCAGGACTGCACCATGTAAAGCCCATGCCTCCCTGCTTGTGTCGCTCAAAAAGAACTTTCATAGCACCTTCTCACCTTAGTTGAATTATTCTGCTTAAAATCTTTTCTTATAAATACATCCTCATTAAAAAATCAAACATTTAAATGAACAGTCTAAAGGTCTAATGCAAAAAGACTCCCTAATTCTAGTCCTGCTCATCAAATGTGATAATCCTTCCAGAAATGTTTTATATACCAAAAATCTCATCACCTTTCCCCACGCCCCAAAAGAACCATACTACACTGCTCTGCAATTTGTTTTCCTCACTTTCTATAATTTAGCCACTATTCTATAATAGTATATACATAGCTGTCTTATTTATGTTCACGGCTGCACTATGTTAATGTACTCCCAACAAGGAATTTTTTTAATTCTGAAAAGTCTTAGTTTGTGCAAGTCATCACACACTTTTGTTCTCATTTTAGGTTACATAGAAGCCAATTGGCTATTTTCAACAAAGATGAGCTGGTTCAAGGACTGTGATTCTAACCCTGGGCACACATTAAAATTATCGATGGAGGGGGGAGTTCTCTGGTTGCCTAGTGGTTAGAGGTCTGGGCTTTCATTGCTGGGTCCTGGGTTTAATTCCTGGTTGGAGAACTGAGATCCTGCAAGCGAGGCCATGCAGTACTCCCCCAAAAATTTACTGGAGGGCTTTAAAAATGACCAGGCCCCTTTCACAATGGGTTCTAACTGATTTGGGATGGGACCCCGGCATTCTGACGTATTTTTTAAACTCCCCAAAGATCCCTACTATGCACTCCCATGATTCTAACAGTGCAGCCAGGGACGAGAGAGCTTATTAAATCAGTGATTGCTGGGCTCCACTTCTGATGCACTGATGAGTGGCAGAGGCTGCTGATGGGACTTTCTCCCAAATTCCCAGGTGCAGCTAGCCTGGAACCTCACTTTGTGAACTGCTTTGAGTGGGTGCTAAATGGAGGCCACTACAACGATACTATTACTAGGTGAATTTATTTATAGAGAAACACCATTACACAAGGGTCATGGGTCCAGGTAACCCTTACTGTTGGTTTTCATATATAGAGAATATGAGGGACAGAAGGAAAGAAGATCCTGTAAAGACAGGTCACTGTTTTAAAAAGAAATAGGTTTTTAAGGAACCTGTTTGATTAGAGCCATTATGAACAACCTTCATCAGGCCCTGCTATATACCTCTCGCTCTCATCAGCAGCTTTCTCAGCTTCCTCCAGCTTTTGCAGGGCAGTGGCCAGGCGCTCTTGAGCTCGGTCCAGCTCCTCTTCAACCAGCTGGATCCTACGGTTCAAGGAGGCCACCTCAGCCTCAGCCTGTGTTTAAGTGAAAGAATGGGAAAAGGAAGCAGAGGCATGGTGAAAAGAAACTATGACACTAAGACAGGTTGAATACCACCATGAGGAAGCAGGGTAGAACTTATCTTAACTCAGATGCACCTAAGACCGAGCAGACATGACTATACACTCTGTGTTATTACAGGCATTTTCCTCTCTTTCCCATCAATGAATTCCCATATGTTCCACAGGAAAAGTGTTTCAAAACTCAGTTCCTTGCCCAGCCCAGTGTCAGTTAGTACCACTCCCTTTCTGGACTCAGTTCAAATTCCTAAACACGCTAGTGTCAGAAAAGGTAAGCCAGTGAAGGGGTCTGCCTGAGTTCTGGCTTAGAGACATGTCTTATTCTGCAGCAGCTTTCCCATAAGTGTCACATAAAGTGGAAAAATAAAAAAAGGTTTCTCAAAGAGGGAATCTTGGATTATCTGTTAATCTGCTGCTGAACTCTCTGATAACCCTCTGATAACCTTACCGTAACACACCCAACAAGAGGATGACTAGCCAAAGAGAATGTTTTCCAGAAGGACCTTCCAGATCAGAAAACAAAAGGATGGAATATTGGGATACTTTCCACCCTTTCAACTGGCCCCCACCTCGCACCTTTTAAAAGTTGACTACAAGGAGTTTCTTTGGGTTAAAATTATCTGCTTTGATGGCATTACCAAAAAAACTGGGGGCAGAAGACAATGTTCCCTCCAGGCCTTCCACCACCCCTCCGAATTTCTGAATTGTGACCCTTTCTGTTCCTCAAGTCACTCCCTTAGCCTCACCCTCCACTACAGTGTATGACAGTCTTCCCCCGGCTCCCACCCCACAGTAAAAAGCACAGGTTGGAGTCCAAGTTATCCCATGCCTCCTCCTGGGCCATGGAATAAGGAGCAAGGAAAGAAGGGGCAGCCGCATGAGCATGAATTCTGCTGGTAAAGAAGCCTCTCTCTTATGATTCCCCTCCCCTCCCCACACCTTTGTGGTGGCAAGCACACTGACCGTCACAACTGCACAAGAATTTAACCTGCCCCGCACACTACCCAGTTCAGATGCTTATCCAAATGCTTGGTAAACACGATCTCTCTTCTACAGCCCAGATTGTGCCTGAATTCTATTACCCTGATTTCCTCCTGGCAGTCAGGGGTGGGGGTAGCTATAGAAATAATCTGGGCCACCAGCCCCTATGGGAAGGAATATAGCCCAAAAGACTCCTGTTAAGAACTGGGTTATGTAGCACACAAAAATTTCCAAATACAAACATGGGAGATTCAAGGAACTGCAGGGGCTGGGGCTATATAACCAGTGCCCTACAAGAAAAGAAAGCCAACATGTCTACATAAGCCGAAATTACTAAGAAACCGTTTGCATCTCTATTCAAAACAGCACAAAGATGAGTATTCTCCGGTCCTATCTCAGGAAACCTAGGACAACACAGATTTTACCCCACAAGCTCAAAAAGGCTACCCGGTCAAGGTTGTTATGAATCTGGCCATCAGGCAAGAACTGTGAAAGAAGAACTGAGAACTGACAGTTCAATCATTTACCCCACCCCACTACCTTCAGATGCCTAGAACTTAAAAAAAAAAAAAACAAACAGAAGACGGAACCCAGATTTGAAGGAAGCTCACGAAATCTAAGTCCCCACCCAGCTCACCAGCAGTTACCCAAATGAAGCAAAGATAACAGGCTCTGGGGGCGGGGGTGTAGAGTTTCCATGACAACAAGCTGGCTCGGGCAGTTTCTCCCACAAATCAGCATTTACAATAGAATTCTTCGCAAGGCTGAAAAGGGAGGAGGAGAAAACACAACTTGGTGCCCTAATCAGAGCATGCGTACACTGAACAAGCCCGTACCAAAAACAGAACACAGGATGGGAGTCCCACAGCAAAAGCTTTGGAGACCCCCGTGGGGAGCAGAGGGAGAGCAAGGTAGTCACTGTTCTCTTTTTTTTCTCTTCCTACAGAGGATCAGTTCTCTTTACAGTGAACAAAAGCTTGCAGAATCAAGATCTGTTTAATATTTAAAGGAATAAGGAAAGACACCTACCTGACTCCTCCTTCCAGCCAGAACCTATGCACAATGCCTGTCCCTTTCAGGTCCATTAAGTGGGACTAACTTCTGCAGGTGACAATGGGAAACATGGCCCCAGGAAACATTAACTTCATGCTGTATGTCATCCTAGGTTTAGCATGCGGTTTTGATCTTTCAGCCCGCTCACCCCTGCCTAGGTTGGAGGTACACTGTGAGGTCCTTACTTCAGGTAATAATAGGATTCTCCACTACCCAGTAAGCAAAGATCTCAAGGCCAGAGAGAACAAAGCAGCGACTGAGTCACTTCAGAAGATGGCTGACAACAGCTTCAGCTAGGAAATGAGTTTAAGTGCTACCATCCTTCACACTGAACAGATTGCCCAAGAGCACCATACCCATCAAGGCAGGAAAGACAGGAGACTGGTGTTCAGAGGCAGATCAGGGCCAAGGACAGAAGGGGATTAGCCTAAATCTGGTATTCTGCCACTCCAGGGTTTCTCTTTTTAGACAAAAGCCAGAGATGAAATTCAAAGGAAAAGAGTAATGGAAAAGTTAGGCTTGAGCCCTGTGAGTAAAGGACTGCTCTGGTTTACAGTGTTCACAAATGTATCTACCCAGGGAGATACTGTGTCCTTGGGGACTTTAAATTTCATCAAGGGGGAGGCAAGTTGGAAGGAAGGGAGCAGAGTTATCTGTTCCAGAGTAAACAAAGGTGGAGACTAAGCGGAGGCACTCAGAGCAAAGGGCTATTTGCCTCTCCCCTATGAGTATGTGCTCTTAATATGAAGCAAGAAAAAGAAAGGTAATCAACAGGAAAGCCAACCTAAACCAAGGAAAGGTGATAAAGTCAGTGGCTTATCCCACCAGACCCTACCAACAGAAGAGAGCCACACAATGGCCAGACATTCTAACCACCACCACCACCCACTCCCTGCAGACTAGGAATTTGGGAATAAGGCCACAATCAAACTGCTATTCCAAGCCCACTCACTCCCTCAATAGTATTCCTAAATTTTTTTAGACCAGGGGGAAAAAAAAGAGCGAGAAATACCAGAAGTTAGGAGACAAGTATTAAAAACAGATAAGGTGAATTGTACACTTAAAAATGGTTAAAATAGTAAACATTTACCACTGTGTATCTTTACCACCACAACACACACACAGATGAGGGAAAAGACTGCACTGAAATATTATGTTGCCATCTGTTTCAGTTTTGCAAAAAAGTAAAAGGAGATTCAAAATCAAAAGTGGATTTGACAAGGCACTACATTATAAAAGATACATCTCCAGGTCAAGAGCAGTAGAGATGGTTTCCAGAACCACTGGGTGGGCTCTGGACTTGGCCAGCTTCCCAAGGAGGGTTGGATGATAACACAAAGCAACCAGAAAAGTAATTGCATGACAATCCCACTAATGGCATGCAATATCATAAGGGAGGGCAGAGCTTCCAGCTCCAGGCGGGAAGAGCCTGCAAAATCCACATTCCAGAATGCCCTAAGAGGATAACAGGTAGTTCAGGCACTCCCCGCCTCTCTTCCCACAGGTGTTTCCTCAGGAGGAATTCAAAGTTCACTAGAGCAGAAAGTCAAGAGATTAGGCACTTTTCAAGCTGGGGGGTAGAAAATAATGGTTTCATAAATATTTAACTATCACTCTACTTCCCCATCTGAGTGAGGGCTTCCTCACTAGATCTCACTCAGCTCAGTAAGCAAATCTGGCAGGCTCTGAGGGAGGGAGAAGCTTAAGAAAAACCTGAAGCTGCTCACTCTGCTGTCTCTCACCTATCAGCCCAGGCTGGGGGGAAAAAGAGTGAAATTTCCCTGCAAGGAAAATTACCAAATCCTGAGTGCAGTGAATGTCCAGGACATCCTAGGGGGGAAACCAAGACCTGGGGGCTACTGAGGGTGGGGGTAACTACATCATCTACCCTAGAACCATTCCTAGCATGCCCTTACTTTGAGCCTGGCTCTAGGTCAACACAAGGCCAGTTCCTTAAAGCCACCCTGTCTCCCCCTTTAAGGGGATCTGGTCTCCAGAACAAAGGAGATGAGAAAGTGTCACTAGTCATAAAGAGTCACCCAGCCAGTTCATCTCACTAGAATGATAATTAGAACTTATGAAAAAATAAAATAAAATAAAGAAGTATAATGAACGGAGGGAAAATCCACTGAGAAATGAGTGACGGAGGAAACCAAGCTCCCAGCATTTCCATGCCCAGTTGTAAAAAGAAATGACTATTCTAACAATCTTTAAGTATTAACCTGGAGGGCAGCTGCTTCTCTCATTTCCCCAAAACATTAATTCTCAGCCACTGCCCAAAAGAGGGGAGGGGAGAACAAGGAATACCAATAAACCACAAGAGTTCTTTCATTAGGTCTTCAAATTTTAGCAACAGTTACTTTCCCCTCCAGCCTCAGGATCCTCCAAAACCAAAGTCTCAACTCAGGAAATCAGTCCTACCCATAGACTGCACCCTAGATCGTGCAAAACCTATGCCTTACTAAAACTAGCTCACCACTTCTCAACAGAAAGCAGTTTCAAGAATCACCATTCAATCGATTACCATATTATGTTTCAACTTTTAGTTGAGCAAATATTTATTGAACGCCAAACAACAACAACAACAGACACTACAGTGGGTACTTGGGAACGTAGCAGAGTAGTAACATCCCTTAATAGACCCCTTGAAACTCCATCAGCCACACTGACTAGGGCAACCAGAAACCTTGACAGAAACTGGCACTCCATCAGATTCTCTACCACATACTCTCGCTTATCAGCTCTGCTTGGAAGAAGTGTTCTTAAACGGTTCAGCTTGCACTCTTCACACTCCAGCAATAAAGGCCTGAATCTGGCAGAAGCTCCCGCCTTCCAGGTAGCCACGGGAGCTAGGCAGGTTTTGTTCGTTCCTACATTTGCACTCACAGAGGCAGTGAGGTACTATCTCCTCCCCTCCAGTT